TATGTGGAAAATAATGTGTTTTTTTAACTTTAAACCGCATAAACACATTTCATTACACCAAATACACAAAATAATGTTTTTTTTAGCAGCATCATATGACCCCTTTAAAACGTTGTTGTTGTTGTTTTGGAGCCACGACTTAAGATATGTTCTTACCCAAATTAAGCTTTAGAGAGTTTTAACGCATTCCGGTAACACTTTATTTTAAGGTCTCATTGTTACAGTGTAACTATACAAATAAGTACTGGCCTGGGTAATATATTAACTACATGTACTTGCTATATGGTTAGGGTTTGGATTAGGGTTCAGTTTAGGGTTACTTGCATGTAATTAATTGTTATAATAGTAGGTACATGTAACGTGTAACAAGGACACCGTAAAATAAAGCGTTACAAGCATTCCTTTTTTCAGCTCCATTACGGCTTGAAATATATATTTTTTTTTAATTCCTTTTAAATGCCATAAAACTTGAAGCAACTTTACGAAATCAACATCAAGTTATGTGCCTATACATACGTTCAAAAAAACTACTCTAGGAAATATTCATTTAAATAAAAAGTGACAACTAGCCCCGCTCTCCCCTACTTGTGAAAACACAGCTACAGAAATGTGTCAAATGAATTAGAACAGTAAGTAAAGCATCAGGTGTCAAACTGCACAAGTGCATTACAGACAACAAACACACTGCAAAAAAATTGTTTTTAATTGTATTAAGTGTTAAATGAAACATTTCGCTTTCAGTGTTTTTATTTTGGCTCCAGATCGGCTCACGTGCACAGACAGCTAGCGCATGCGGCCCTCAGCAGCTCACACATTCATTGACTCTCTCCGAGCAGAAAAGGCAGCTTTAAAAAACGGCGTTAGTGTTTGCAAAAGATGCATTCGTCGTTTAAGCAAAGCACAGCATTAAAAAAAGCCTCACAAAACAAACACACCACCAAACGCTTCCGCGGGCCTTTACCAACTAGCCTGCGTCTATTCCACCCGCTCACCAGACCGAATTAAACTCCCCTTTATCAACAACAAGCGTTCGACACCACCTCCCAACTGTGCATATATAGTTAGCGGCACATTCGACGCGGTTTTTTGCACAAACTCGTCTCGAGTCGCGTCGCGTGCACCGCAGGAAGGCCTCGCGCTAAACGAACTGAGAGCGTGCACGCCCACTCCGCGCGAGACGCTAGATAAAACACTCACCGCGTTTCTCACTGTGATCGAAGAGCCAGCGCATAATGGGAGAAGGACTTGTATTATCGCTTACGTTGTTGGGACGCCATACGGGTCGCCGTTGTCGTTAATGCCACAACCTTTTCCGCTTGGGAACTGTGATGGGACACAAGTAGTACTTCCTGTTGACCCTCTGAGCCAGCAAACAACTCGTGACGCGCTGGATCTGTCGGCAGGGGGCAGTGTGTGATCTAGCTCTAGTCAGTGCTTTACTGGTAGAAGCTAAAGTGTATGGCCCACAGTCTCAAGACCTTTCTCCACAGTCTACCCAATCTCCAATCTACTATGGTATGGCCAAAGCATTTGCAGGATAGTATTTCAACAAATAATAATAAAGTTATAGTACGTGAAATTGAAAGATAAGCAAACAAACAATTGTATGTTTAAAGAAATAATTGCATGAATTTAAGTAATATTAGTAATTATTTGAAGTAATAAAGTAACATAATTTCCCACTTTATATTTATATTTGTATATAATTTAATATTAATATCCGATGTTTGTCTAAAGTTCCCCTCTGTTTGTTTTGGTTTCCTTTCTTGAAAAGCACCCTCCCACTGAGCTATCAAGGTGGATGACCCAGAGTTTAGAACAAATTAAGAATATCCAGTTTGTGTGCTTTAGCAGAGTCCAAGATGGATCCCTGTAAGTATCTTCTAATATAAATGTATAAACTTAAATGTTGTTTATCGACAATTGACAAACAGTTTACTTGTTTTTTTCCATCCTCTAGTTACTCTTCTGCATCTGGTGCAGCAGCAGGTAAAAAAAAAAAAAAAAAAACTCTATTAACAGTTTAACAATAAAACTGGTTTATGGCCTTTCACCTGGGATAATTGATGTCTTTAGGTGCTGCTGGAATCCCTTCGTCAGGTCAAGCCATCATGGGGGCTGTGGGAGCCACTGAGGGTGCTGCTGCCAGCATGGCTAACAAATGTACTTTGTAACTGTTTCAAATCTGTGCATTAATGCGTTTATCAAATATCTCTTATCATTTTCCTACTGTGATCTAAGTGATTAACATCACATTGGAATGTCTGTATCAGCAGTTTAGTGTGTGGAAGGTGCTTATAAAATGAAAAAAAAAAAAAAAATGGTCTCTTTCTGTTCTTTCTTTAGTTGTCATAATCTAATTGCGTGTAATTCAATGTGATTCATCACGGGATAACGCACTTAATCTGTCATTGGGGAGTTTTCTCAGATTTCCACACTGGAGAACTATTCTGTATTCAAGAAACTTAAATTTTATATAAATTGATAGGATTACTGAGGTTACTTTTTAAAGTTCTTCCGGGAGCTTATAGGTTCCGTGTTATAAGTTTCTCATAGAAATGATAGCCTGAGAGGTTCTCCAAATGATTCCACTAGTGTGGTTATGAGGTTAGAATGATTATGAAGAGATTAAGCCTATTAATCCATTTAAATCATTTATTTTATAATTTGTTTATCACTGACTTACAAACAAGATTGCAGGGTCACCTTCACCGTGTGTCACCTATCTGCAATATAATAACAACAAAAGGGATGCAATTTGTTCTGTACCCTGACTTTATGCACATTATATACAGATTTGTTGTGTATTTCTGTGTCAGTATATGGCCGTTTTCTTCCATCTTCTCTATTATAATACAGCCATCTGATCAGAACGCAGGTTATGTGACATACTCAGGTAAGTTTACGGATAAGTAAACCAATACTGTAGCTTTTGTTTCCAAAAAAATGACGTAACAGAATGTAAGCAGCTTTAGCAAATTACTTCCTGAACATAACCTGATGGAGGGTCAGTTTAGTACAGGTTAATGCCTCTCAGCTTCAAACAAAAGAAAAATAAAGTATTAGGGTAAGAGTGGGGATGGTTGCAACATGACTCCCTCCTTCAATCAGAAACGAGTTACAGTGATGATATTCATACTGCTCATGCACAACTAGCCCCTCATCCTACAAGAAAGCAGCCACATTTGACCATTCCTTCTGCAAAAAAATAAAAAATAGTCTATCTGACATTTTTTCTTTCAAATGACCATTTTTATCAGGCTTCAATGTTTAGGTTCAATAGTTTCACTTTAATGACAATAAAAAGGTTATTGGTCAGTTATTGAAATGCCTTTTTGGGACACTGAATGAGGAACTAATGACTTTTGTTTGTTTGTTTCTAAAAGTATTGATTGATTTAAGTTTAGCCTATAGTTTCATACATATATATATATATATATATATATATATATATATAGTTTCAAATTA